TCTGCGAGGTTCCCAAACCGAACTGTGCCATGTTTTGGAAGGCCACGCGGGGTGGGGTGTGGGGAGGAGGGGACAGGCCTGGAGCGGCCTGAGGTGCTGCGCAGGGCTGGGGGCAGGGGGCACGCAGCTGGGAGGCGCCCAGGCACTGGCCTCACCGCAGTAAGTCAGATCTCTACCTGGTTTCCTTTCGACCAACTCCATGATTTTCCTTTTAGAAAAAGACCCTTGGATCTAGCTCTGGGACGGAAGAGTCAGGTGCAGCCGTCTGGGTGACATCTCAGTCTGGGGCAGCTCTTACAGGCTGACCTTGCCACGTGCGAGGAGGGGCGCTACGATCTTTTCCTGGGGAGGTTCCACATGACCCAGCAAGATCCCTTCGCCAGAGGTGCGGGCAGGGACACTCGGGGTCTTCCTCAGCGCGGGTGGCGGCTGCTTTCTCCCCAGGTCTGTGCCTGGAGGGCCCAGCATGGAGCGCTGCCTGAGCCCCTGCGAGGCCAGCAGGCGTGGCCTCCACACAGCTCAGCGTGGGACCTTTCTGCCTCCTCTCCACATGGCCTGGGAACTCCTGAAGGAGCTCTGCGAGGCTTCCCGTCCGCCTTCAGGATGCTCTCGGAAGCCCGACCGCACAGCTGTTAGTAGCATTAGAGTGAAGTTCTCTCTTCTTTCTGGCTTCCTGCTCTCCTCCAGCTTTTCAACAGTCATCCATTCAAAGTTTATCAACAAAGGGCTTGGTTTTATTTCATATTAAGTACTACCCCAAGAAAGACTTCCATTGCTAAACTGGGCGGAGAAGTCCTCTTAATGTCCTTCCACGTTGTGGGAAAACAGCACGGTCTGTTTCTGTGTGGCTCACGAGGAGGCCCCGCACGTGGCCGGTGGCAGAGGGCGGGCACTAACTCAGTATCTGTTGGCTGTGCAGTGAGTCCTATGGGGAGGCCTGGGACCGTGTATCTGCGAGGGGTGGGTGCGGTTTGCCCTCTGGCAGATGCGGGACTGCTTCTAAGCTGTACTCGGTCCTCCTCATAAAGAATTTCTGGAGACATTACTCCCCTCATCCCCGGCGTGCTCACTTACTTTGCCATCCAATCCAGTCGTGGGGGCCAGGCACGGTGGGAGGGGAAGAGGATCCTGCCAGAGCCCCTGCCAATTTTGCTGCCTAGTGGGTCCTCTACCCTGTACAGTCCTACTGTTCTCTGGCAAGCAGGTCAGAGCGGAGACAGTCTCCACTGGGTTAGGCCGTTTGGCTGGTTGCTGTACCATCCACCCCCCATATCCTCCTCTAAGGGATATTGAAGGGTGGAGTCCCAAATACCAAAGCCTGGAATTCCTGGCTGGCAGGAAGGCCTGGGAATCCCTCCCGACTCCTGTGTTCCTTTCCATTCTGCAGAGTGAAGGGCCCATTGCTTGCTTTGGCCAAAAGAGGAAGCTACAGTAGGTGGCTAACTCCTGATGGGGGGGGGCGGGGGAGACACTTCTAGAGGGGGCCAGAGAGTGAGGGAGTAGTTTGTGGGCTTAAGTGAGACAGGTTCCCAACAGATGAAGATACTCGGGGGGTCCGCAAAGCAATTCCCCTTGAAGGGGGCCTTCGGGAAGGAAGCGTTAGATGTGCGCCGCATTTACTCCTGAGCTGATAGGAATCTCACATTTATTCTGCGCTGGGCCCAGCACTCCGTGCTTTTCCTACACGTACAGCTTCAATGGTGAAGAGTAGGGCCGGTTTCCTATCAACCCCTATCTAGCTGTGTGGCCCCGGGGAAATTCCTCCACCTCTCTGAGACTCAGTTGTTTCATCTGTAAAATGAAGAGAAGAGTAGGTTTTCTAGGGTTGTGGAGAGGTTTAACTGAAATGTGTATGTGAGGAGTTTATCACCCACCAGGACCCACCAGGCAGCAAAAATTGTCTGACACAACAGAAGGACTCCCTACATATTAACTATCTTACTAAGTATTTAGGTAAAAACAAGACTATCTTAGGGGCACCTGAGTGGTGCTGTTGGTCAAGCTGCTGACTCCTGAACTCAGCTCTGCTCTTGATCTCAGGGATGTTGAGTCCAAGACCCCATGCTGGGCTCCACCCACGCTGTGTGCGAACTACTTATCAAACAAACAAACTAAGTGTCTTCTGAATGCTCCCATAGACAAATCCATTCTTCTGCAGCCATCAAACTGGACATGCATCGTATGATATGCTATATGCTGTGGACGTGATCTGACAAAAGTTTTTCTTCTCATGTTTGTCAATTTTATCACATAAAAAGTATACAACTTATACATTTAATCTACAAATAGAAACCTCGACTGTGAGAGATAAAATAAGACCTGAACAATGGGGGACAGGGATCTTCAGTCTCTTCAAATGGATTTTAAAATATTGACAATATTTTAAAATATTTGACAAATTCTAAAGTTTATTCAGAAGAAGAAATGAGTGCCTGGAGCTGACAAAATTTATTTGGGGGCGGGGGAGGAATGTGTGTGTAGGGGGAGTACTTACACTATATTAAAACTTATTTCCTGTGATAAAAATACACACATAAAATTTAATTTGGGGTGCAGGGCTGCACTATATATGACACCAAAGGCAGAAACCATAATAGCTTTTACTTTATGAGATATGAACCCCCAAGCAATGTGAACTAAAGCCAAATTTCCCAACTTAAAAAAAATGGACAAATAAAGTGAGCAAAGGGACATAAGCAAATCTGCAAGAAAATACAAAAAGGCAATAAATATGTGAAAAAACAAGCTAGCTAACTAGTAATCTAGGAAATGAAATTCAAAACAATGGGAAATAATGACTTTAAATTTGAAAAAACAGCCTGCGTCATCAAGGATATGGAAAAATGGGCATTCTCAAGGGAAAGCTAATAAATTTTTCTGGAAGATAATTTAGAAAGCATTTAAAAAATATACATTGCCTGTGATCCATCAGTTCCCCACTCCTCGGATTTTAAAATCAGCCATGCGCAATAAAAGATGAATCTCTAATGGTACAGAAAACCAAGAAAGTTTACTTGTACATTTATGCTGCCATTAAGAATCATATCACAAGAGAGTATCTAAAAAAACGGGAGAAAACTCACAATACTGTTAGTGAAAAGGGCAGAATACCTTTTTTTGCAACATATTATCCCAATTACGTCAAACATGCATAGATAAGTATAGAAAAAAAACACCGGAGGAGACATACCAAAATTTGAAATGTAATGACTCCAGGAACTAAAAGTATGAGAGATTTTTATATTCTATTTCCGATAGAACTGGTGCAACAGATCTAAGTGTTTTAAAAATGAATGCACGGTTAACACCGACTTTGTTGGAAAGTGTAAAAGTACATGACAGCTTCCGAGCCTGGAAAACCCAGGAAGCGTTCGGTGCGCAAAGCCGCGGCCACCTGCTCGGCGGTGAGTCACCGGCGCGGGCTCGCACCTGCCTCCCCGCTCGCCGCCCGGCGGCCGCGCGGTTCCACCGGACATGGCCCGCGGCCAGGGCAGCCCCGGGGCCAGGCCCGCGCCCCCGGCCACGGGAAGCCGGGAACGCCTGCTCGCGGTAATTTCTGGAACAGGGGCATTCTCTTTCTCAAGTTCACACGGTCGGGCCTTTCCTTTCTCCGCTTGTGAACAAGCCGGAAGGCAGACTCTCGCGTCGGCCGCGCCGCGGCCCGCCGGGGGCATCTCGGTGCTGCAGCGCTGCCGGTGGTCGAGGTGGCCGGCGGCGGCGGCCGCACCCGTGGACGGGTGGCCCCAGGGCGGCGGGCGCCCTCTCGGAGGAAGCTAGCGAGGCCGGGCCCAGCCGAGGCACCGCAGTCCGGCCACGCGGTCGCGCAGGGACGCGCGTCCTCCGTAGGGACAAAGGGTCGGGAAACTTGAGCCTGGCCCGTCCCGGAAAATCCGGGCTGCGGTCGCCATGGCGACGGAGCCGGGATCCGGGCGGCCGCCCCCGGCCCGGCCCGCGAGAGGGCGCTGGGATGGGGGCGCGGAAGGGACGGGCCCCGCCGCCCGCCCCGCCCCGCCCTCCGGCCGCGGCCGCCGGCCCCAGCCCGCGACTGACCCTCGGCAGCTCCTGTAGTCACGTGGCGCTGGGAACCGGCGGGGGGGCTGGGCCCGGGCCTGGCAGTTGTGAACTCGAACCTGCCGCTGTCGCCGCGCGGGGTGGGGAGCGCGGCCGCCGGCGCCGGCGTTCCGGCCTCATGGACGCGCGACGCGCCTCCGCGCACCCCGCCGGAGAGGTTCGTCCCGGGCAGGGCGCGGGGTTCCACGCGGGCCCGAGGCGGGCGGCCCTAGCTGCCGGGCGCGTGACTGTGTGTGCGCTGTGTTGGGGGGGCAGTGCTGGACCGAATGGGGGGGCGAGCCCGCGCACCTGCGCACAGGCTCCGCGAGGTGCGCTCTGCGTGGGGACCCGAAAGGGCCCACTCGGAGTGCGCGGAGCCGTGTGTCCGCGACGTGGAAGGGGGACACGCGCGTAAACAAAAGGGGCGTGTGGGGTCTCCACGACCTTTTGCCATCCAGAGGCGCAAGGGGATTGTGCCCGAGACCTGGCCACACTAGCTCGCCCTACGCAGCCCCTTGGGAACCGGGCCTGGAATTCCTGTTGGGAGGAGGGTGGGGGAAGGGGAGCCAGCAGGGATTCCAGAGTTTCTGCCATCGGCCGGCCTTTGGCCATCAGCATGGAGAATTCATGCTGTGACCTTACCGGTGGAGGAAATGACCGCCAAACGCTGTCGTGTACTTCCTTGGTGAAGGGAGCACATTCATTGATTAATCCAGTATCCATTAAGGTCACTCGGCCACTCGGGGTGTGGGGCTTGCGTGGGGGAGGGGGTGGTGGCTGGCGAGGACACAAAGATGACTGCCCTGGAGGAGCTCAGAGCCTCATGCGTGTTTTCTCTCCCCTCCCCGCAGGTAAGGCTGGCCTCTCTGCACTCAGAGGTCTGAGCTCTGCCATGGGGGTAGGGGTGTCTTTACTGCTGCAGTTTTCTCTGACATCTGGGGGCTACCAGAGTGTGGGCCGAAGCCGGCACTGCAGCCGCAGAAGTATCCCCAGGAACCTTCCCAGGAGGGGCTGGAAAAAGCCTCATCTCCAGCTCCACGGTCTCCAGGGTAGAGTCTGGCCTTCTTTGTTGGGTTCCTAAATGGTTCCACAGCCCCAGTGCTCAGATCTCCTCATCCTGGAGGAAGGAAGTCACCTGTAGGGGGGAAGGACTCCCTTCCCATACCAGCGTCTTCCCTGTGCTCAGTCTGGCCATGGGGAATGAGTCATGTCTGAGCTCCTGGAGAGGAGTCCGGCGCTAGGGAATTGAGGAGGATGTGTCTGGAGCTTGTAAGTCGGTAGTGAAGGTCCATTAGGAGGCTCCGCACCACCCAACCCTCAGTGGCTGCAGAAAGCTCTCCTTGAGGAATCTGGGCTCCCTGGCACTGTGGAAGAGTGGAATGTGGGGCAGCCTCTGGTGGGGTTGGGGCATGACCTGGCAGCGGACGGGGATTACAGTCTTGCCCTGGTAATGATCCCTACCACCCCAAGGGAGGCAGGGATCTGAGCCCCCAAGGGTAGCCAGCTGTGGGTGTTCCTTGGATTTGGGAGAGCTCTCCTTGCGATGTCCTAATCGTGTGTGTGGGTAGAGGAGGGCAGGCAGGCAGAGTGTGGGCACAATCTGGACAGGCCATGACCTGACCCTTAGCATCTAGCACTCCCTTCCTGTTCCCCAGAAGCGCTGCTGTCTCCTGCTCTCCCGCTTCCACCCTGAGTGACTGAGGTCACAGAGGCCCAGAACGCTCCCCTGTGGTTTGATCAGAGCCCAGGAGAGGATAAATAGGATAAAGGCCATGGGAGTTTCTTTCTGTGGGAACTTTACAAACCCAGGTGCAGAGGCAGGAGCACTGGACTGGGAGTTTAGAAGTCCTGTTCCCCGGTCTGGGTTCCGCTTTTGGTTTACTGTGTCCACTCGGGCAAGCCCCCTCTCTCCTTTTTATGCCTCAGAGTTGCTTCATCTGTCAAACTGGGAGCTTCGTGTCTTGTCCTGCTTTACTGTTGCTGGGAAGCTCAAATGTAGCGGCAGGAAATAGAAACGAGCCGGGGGCAGCAGGGAAGTGCTTGTAGAAAGCGAAAAGCACCACAGGGAGAGGTGACCACGTCTTCTGATGAGTCCCAAGGCAGGAATATTTGTCCAGCCGACGCTGGAGTGTTTACTCCATGCCAGATACGGGGTGACTGGCATGAGGGGGATTCCAAGAAGTGTCAGAGTTCCTCCCTTCTGGTAGTTTCCAGGGTTAGCAAATACTTAGTAAATACTTAAATGCACTTGAAATGGTATCTAGAAGCGCAGGATTGAAATGATGTAAAACAGACAAGGAAACAGAATAGTCCAGATTCAAGGGCTCTAGGAGTTCAGAGGGATGAGCTCCTTTCGGGCCTAGGGTTGGCCAGGGAGGAACCAGGGTAGGGTAAGTTGATCTCCAGAGTGACACTGCTTTTCCACCCTCAGCAGAGGAAGAACCCATGCTGGAACGTCGCTGCAAGGGCCCCCTGGCCATGGGTCCTGCCCAGCCCAAGGTCCCTGGGCCCTCCCAGAAGTTGCCCCAGACCCTGGAGAAGGAGCCCCATGGGCTGAGGTTACAAGGCACTTCCGTGGCCCAGTCGGGCGGCCAAGCCCCCAGTAGGGCCCATCGCTGTGCCCACTGCAGAAGGCACTTCCCGGGCTGGGTGGCCCTGTGGCTTCACAGCCGGCACTGCCAGGCCCGGCTTCCGCTGCCCTGTCCTGAATGCGGCCGTCGCTTCCGACACGCGCCCTTCTTGGCCCTGCACTGCCAGGTCCACGCGGCTGCCACCCCAGATCTGGGCTTCGCCTGCCACCTCTGCAGGCAGAGCTTCCGAGGCTGGGTGGCCCTTGTTCTGCATCTGCGAGCACACTCGGCGGCAAAGCGGCCCATCGCGTGTCCTGAATGTGCGAGACGCTTCTGGCGGCGGAAGCAGCTTCGAGCCCACGCGCGGAGGTGCCACCCCCCAGCCCCGGAGGCCCGGCCCTTCATATGCGGCAACTGTGGCCGGAGCTTTGCCCAGTGGGACCAGCTAGTCGCTCACAAGCGGGTTCATGTAGCCGAGGCTCTGGAGGAGGCAGCGGCCAAGGCTCTGGGGCCCCGGCCTAGGGGCCGCCCGGCCGTGACCGCCCCACGGCCTGGTGGAGACGCGGTCGACCGCCCCTTCCAGTGCGCCTGCTGCGGCAAGCGCTTTCGGCACAAGCCCAACTTGATCGCCCACCGCCGCGTGCACACGGGCGAGCGGCCCCACCAGTGCCCGGAATGCGGAAAGCGCTTCACCAATAAGCCCTACCTGACCTCACACCGGCGCATCCACACCGGCGAGAAGCCCTACCCGTGCACGGAGTGCGGCCGCCGCTTCCGCCACAAACCCAACCTGCTGTCCCACAGCAAGATCCACAAGCGGTCCGAAGGGTCGGCCCCGGGCGTCCCCCGCGCGGGGAGCCCCCAGCTTCCGGCCGGCCCCCTGGAGGCCTCGTCCGAGCCCCCCGCCGCCGAGGCGGCGCTGAAACCCGCCCGGGAGCGGGCGCCCGAGCCTCCGCCCGAGGACCCCGGAGCGCTCCCGCCGGCCGCGGCCGCCGCGCCCCCGTCCCTGTTCAGCTGCGAGGACTGCGGCCGGAGCTTCCGGCTGGAACGCTTCCTGCGGGCGCACCAGCGGCAGCACAGCGGCGAGCGGCCCTTCGCCTGCGCCGAGTGCGGGAAGAACTTCGGCAAGAAGACCCACCTGGTGGCGCACTCCCGGGTGCACTCGGGCGAGCGGCCCTTCGCGTGCGAGGAGTGCGGGCGCCGCTTCTCCCAGGGCAGCCACCTGGCGGCCCACCGGCGCGACCACGCCCCCGAGCGGCCCTTCGTCTGCCCCGACTGCGGCAAGGCCTTCCGCCACAAGCCCTACCTGGCGGCCCACCGGCGCATCCACACCGGCGAGAAGCCCTACGTCTGCCCGGACTGCGGCAAGGCCTTCAGCCAGAAGTCCAACCTGGTGTCCCATCGGCGCATCCACACGGGCGAGCGCCCCTACGCCTGCCCCGACTGCGACCGCAGCTTCAGCCAGAAGTCCAACCTCATCACCCACCGGAAGAGCCACATCCGGGACGGCGCCTTCTGCTGCGCCATCTGTGGCCAGACCTTCGACGACGAGGAGAAGCTCCTGGCCCATCAGAAGAAGCATGACGTCTGAGCAGGGGGCGGCTGCGGAGGCCGAGGGGGTGGGGGAGTACCCTGGGCGTCACTGACGGGAGAGTGTTGCTGTGGGCCTGGGCTGCGGGTGGGGGGGTGGGGGGCTGTGTTGCTGCTGGTGGAGGCAAGGGATGGGAGAGCAGCCAGTGAGCTATGCCCTGTTGGAGAGGGAGGTCCAGCCCCACCCCCCCAACCCCGGCACCAGGGAAGCGGCTTGCGGAGCACGGGACTCCGGCCTCCAGCTGGTGTTTGCTGAGGTTCCGTCCTGACTGTCCCATGCCCTGGAAAAGTAGCAATAGCAGCTCCACACCTACCCCTTCGAGCCCTCCTGCTGGAGGGGCCACCAGGGGCCAGGAAGACCCTTCCCCTCTGGTGTTAACGCCTTAATGTCCTTGTCTTTTATTATGAGTTCCTTCAGCTCGTTTTTTTTTTTTGTTTTTTTTTTTCCGGAAGTAGGTGTGGCGTAGTCCCCTAGTAAATGAGCTCTTGGGAGGAAAAGTGGACCAGCTGGATACACCCGGGAGAACCTGCTGGCCTTGTTAGACTGCACCTGGGCCTTTTCCAGCTCAGAGAGGTGAGGCCGAGCTGCTCTAACCTGTCCCACACCGTCCCCTTCCTCCTGCCCCTGCGTAGGCACTGGGACTCCGAGAGACCCATCTACTGTTAGTGCTCAGCTCCGCTCCCCCTCCCTGAGATCAACGCAGCACCCTCCCATCACTTAGACCCATCATCCCCTGCCTGTCAGCAGCCCCGTGTCCAGGCTTTTGTCTGAACACCCCCCAACCCTCCACTCTTGCAGAGCTCAGCATGGTGGGAAGGACTGCCCTGTTGATCATGGAGGGTCCGCGGACAGGCAGAAAGGGGTGCGTTTCCCTTTCCACATTTCTAGGTCATGGTTGCCCAGCCTCTGCTTGAACATGTAGGTGACAGGGAGTCCCCACCTCCTGAGGCCCTGGTTCTATTGTAGGATAATTCTAATTGTTAGAAATTCTTCCTTATAATGAATGGAATCCACTTGCCTGTAATTTCTACCTATTGGGCCTTGTTCTGTTCTCTGGAATGAAACAGAACCACCACTTACCCTCCTTTTCAAACTAGAGAATAAAGATTTGGTTTTAGAGCTGGTGGCTGAGTGTCCCTTGCTCCTTGGTAGCTGTGTGGTTTGAAAGAGAAGCAGGGAGCTCTGCTCTGGGATGGGGGGAGGAGGGAGGGGGGCAGAGGAGGAGTGTTGGTAAGGGGAGGAGTGCCCCCACCTGAGCTCCTTTGCACCTTACTTCTGGTTCTTTCCCAGGGGAGGCTGGGCGCACCCCGTGGGTGGGGCTAGTTCTGCAGGGACTTAGCTTTCTGTGGGGTCAAGTCGGACCGGGCAGGGGCCAGTTTTCCGGAGGAAAAGCACAGAAGGCACTGTGCTAGAGTGCCTTCCTGGCTGGCCCTCTGATGCTTCCCTGCACTGTTTCATACACATCAGAGTGCCTGTTCTTGACAGGTATTCGTAGGCCCTTTTCCTGCCAGTTTTAGTGATTTCTGCATAGATCCAGCCTGTGCACACCATGCATAATAACCACCACGGTTTATGGGAGCCGCACCACGCAAAGTTTACTTAAGCGATCTCACATAATCTCCGGTTGGGAGGTACTCCTCTTTTACAGATAAAAACGTTTGCTCAAGGTCATGTAACTGGCAATCACCAGAGGTCATTTAAACCCGGGTCTCTTGACTCCTGGACCCTAGGCTCCTGACCACCACTACGTGTTTGCTGGGTGAACGGAGTATGCTGCTGCTTTGGTGAAGATAATTTTTTTTTAAAGATTTTATTTATTTGACAGAGATCACAATCAGGGAGAGAGGCAGAGAGAGAGGAAGGGAAGCAGACTCCCCGCTGAGCAGAGAGCCCGATGCAGGGCTCTATCCCAGGACTCTGGGATCATGACCTGAGCCGAAGGCAGAGGCTTCAATCCACTGAGCCACCCAGGCACTCCTGGTGAAAATAATTATTAAATGCCTACCATGCCTGATGTTGTGATGGCAACTAGGGGTTTACCAAGATAAGACCTTGTCCTTACCTCTATGAGGCCCAAGTCTGGACATATATGTGTACACAAATAATGAGCGGAGGGAGGGAAATGGGGGTGAGTGGCTCGTGTAGGATGGAAGCAGATAGCTTCCAAGTTTCATATTGGTTGAAGCCACTTCATGCCTTCATGGAGCCACTTAAAAACCTCTATAGTGGGGCGCCTGGGTGGTTCAGTGGGTTAAAGCCTCTGCCTTTGGCTCAGGTCATGATCCCAGGGTCCTGGGATGGAGCCCCACATCGGGCTCTCTGCTCTGCAGGGAGCCTGCTTCCTCCTCTCTCTCTGCCTGCCTCTCTGCCTACTTGTGATCTCTGTCTGTCAAATAAATAAATAAAATCTTAAAAAAAAAAAACAACCAACCCTCTATACTTAATGGCAAATTATCTTTCAGAGACTAGAAGCATTGACTCAAGAAAGCCACACATCAGTATGTCTCTTTAAGAGACCCCAGGGATTCAAGGGAAGGAAAGCAATGGTTTTTTGGGGGCAGGCAGGTAGGTCAAGGTCTGGGGCTGATGGGCAGGGAGCAGGAGCCAGGTCCTCAGGCATCTAAGGTTTGTACTTGGGGGTTGGGGAAAAGGGTAAGGACGAGGGAATCTGACCAGGGTTTCTGACTGTGAAAGAGGACCTTTGAAGGAAATGTTTGGGGGTGGGGAAGGCTGGCATTGGGCATCCATTTGTTCTGTGCTGCACCTGCTTTTGGGCAGAGATGGTGAGGAGAGGTCCAAAGTTCAGGGGAAGTCACAGAAGTGGCCTTGAGGGGGCTGGTCAAGCTGGGACAGAGTGAACTTGTCCATGGGTCCTTCCTGGGTCCCTCAGAGGACCTGGTGGTTCCCAAGTCCTTGCTCAGCATGGCACACGCTGATAGCAGTCTTGAGGGAGGAACTGCTGAGGTTGGAGGGGTCAGAGTTCTGCTGACAGGAGCCACACTTCTGAAGTGTCCAGGTTCCCCCCCCCCCCCGGCCCACTTTTTCTAATACAATTACAAGAAGTCAATTATCTTGTCAAAATTTAATAATGCAGACATATATTTTTTTAAATGCCGAAGTCTTTCATTCTCCCCTCTCCCCAGCCCGTTCTGTTTTTTCTCTCTTTTTTCTAAATGTAAATCGGATCCCAGATGTGCTTCATTCTTTCCGTCCTTGAAATACCCTTGGTCATGACATGCCAATCTGGAGGAAATCTTTCACTCTGTAGAGGAAACATGCCCAAGACAAGTGGGTTTTCTCACTCATGACCAGTGACAGATCTGGGACCAGAACACCAGAATTCCACAAGCCTTTGGTAAACCTCCAGTAGGTATTCTAGAAAATAAAGAGATGGACCGGATTCTTGAAAAAGTTGATGGCCTAGTGGTATCTGGCCTCTGTGTAGGCTTTTATACTTCACACATATTTCTATAGACAATAGAACCAATTTGGGTCCTGTAAAAGTCAGGAAAGGTAAGTATGTAACTAGGAAATTACTCTTTTACAGATAAGTCAAAGTCCAGAGACAGAAAAACTGCACAAAAGTTAGTGGCAAACCGGACAGAATCTCAGTTCTACAGTGTCTATTGTCCTGAAGCCAAACAATAGCTGGGCCACAGCAATGCCTAGGAGGCGGCTACTGATTCACTAGAACGAGGCCCACCAGCTCCACAGTCGATGTCTCAGGGAGAGAGAGGCCAGCTCTGTCTTTATCAACCCCCAGTCCCAAAGGCAGTTTCTCAGCAGCTCCAGAGAGAATCCTGCCAGTGGGAGCTGACCCAGCGGGCTGGAGGGAGCAGTGTGAGGAACCTTGTTGGCATAAAGGAACATTTGCTTCCAATTAGTGCGGGTAGAAGAGAAAATTCTCTTTTCCGGAGGTCTCCCGGAGCAGTCAAGACCCTCCCTGGAGTGTCCCCTGCTGGGACACTCCACCCAGGAACGTGACCTCTTCAGACCGTTGTTTCCTGACGAGAAAGCGAGGGGGTGGGTGTAACGAGGTCTCGGTGTGTCTCTATCTCATAGAGACCCCAGGATCGTTTATCCGGCACCCACGACGTGCCCGGCGCCGCGCGCGGTGCGGACGGCGATTTCTCTCGGGTCGCGCGAGATCGGTACAACAGCTTCTCACCCTAACATTTGGTGTACCAAGTGCCACCATGTCACATGCACACTCGAGTGTGAGCGCCAGAGCGGGCTTCGTGCGTCCTGTCCTCCCGGATCCCGGCACCAATAGCGGTGCGGGCGCGTCCTGAATCGGACGGAGAGTTGCGGAACGACGCGATCCATCTGAGAGCGCGTCCGCGGGGCCAGAGCCGGAGGGAGAGCGCGGCGGAGGGGAAGTACGGGGTGCCGCGACACTGTCGGGTCACCAGCACGCTGCCTCGCCCTCGCTCCTCCGCCCCTCGGAGCCCTGGACTCCAATCGCGCGCCAGCAGCCAAAGCGTTAACGCCGCTCGGGGCCCGGCGAGGCCCAGCGGGCGGCGGGGTCAGCCCGCCCACCAGGTCTATTGGCTCAGGAGAACAAAGGGGCCGCCCCGCGGGCTTCTCCGATAGGGCGGAGCTGGTCATCTGAGCGGCGCGGCCAATCAGACCGCGGGACGGCCCGGGGGATGGCTAAGCCCGCTAGCCAATCAGGGGGAGGCACCCGCCCCGCCTGTCCCGGGACTGGCGGGGCCGGAGAGCCCAGTGCCCAAGTCGCCCCGGGGTGGCAGTTCCCGTTAACCTTAACCACAAAGTCAAGGTATTTATTCCCGTCTCCTCCCTCCGAGTCCCTCCGAATCCGGGCGGCAGGGGCGTCCGGAGGGACGGACCGTGCTGTGGGGCCAGCGCCCGGCCCGCTCCTCCCGCGCTGCCTCCACCCACCCTCGGGCTGGCGGCGGCCTCGGGGGTCTCGGGGGTCCCCTGAGCTCCTGGCGCTGCGGCCCCGAACTTTCCCGACCCCCACACAGCCCCTGGGGAAAGGGGCCCGGGTCGTGCGTGGGAGGGGGCTGCAGGCCCGGGCAGAGAGCAGGAGGGGGGCCGTGAGAGCGGGAGGGACGGGGTGGTTAGCGGAGG